GAAATCCCAGTCTACCCCTTCCCTTCCCACCCTCTACCCCGCTCTATATCACTTCTAAGTGTATTATATGTCATTAATTTTACTAATATTTTCTATTATTTTATAACTCTTCAAAATTAATCAAATATTGTTTGGTAATCTGTACATCACACAGGGACCCCATCACATTCTTGAAACAACTGTCTCACTATCCCACCACATTTTCCACCCTCAGCCTATTATCCTGCTTCTTTCCTCCTTCCCAATCAATTCTACTGGGGTCTCAGAAACTCTCATGCTTTCATTACAAAAAAAACTCTATAGTCTTACATCTCCCTGGCCATTAACAGTATGAAGTCTGGTTTCTCTTGCTAGACCACAATTTGCTCTACAATACCCAATCAAATCAGTGTGGTCCGTTCTCCAACACCCAGCACACGGAATAGGGAGAGGAGAGGTCAATATCCTCCTAGCTCTCCTACTGCCAGTTCCAGGCTATCAGTCATCTACCTTTGGGTACAAATCCCCTTTTCTTTGAGGAGTACACTAACGAGCTTCCCATGTTATTACCTAACTCATTTCATCCTCACTCTCCACATTCAATGAGGACTTGAGTTCTGAGATCCTTCTACTTCACCAACATAAATCTTGCCAGCATTTTCAAAGCACAATCTAAATAATGTGCACACCTCAACTATTCTTCCCTTAAATAAATACAATTGCATTCACCCCACTTGAATAATCCACTCCAGTGGCCATAACCTGGACCACATCATCACTCACATTTACTCCATCTCTGAAACCATAAACATTGATCTCTGGCCATGACCTCTTACTCCTTACCTATTCTTTGACTTTATCAAAGCATCCAGTCAGCACCCATTCCCTCACCTTACTGAGTCTATCAGCATCTTCCTGCCCACACTTGCTTCCTTTCCCTATGTACAACCAATCACCAATCACTTCACTGCCTTCTCACCAGCACCCTTAACTCCCATCCGCCCTTACCCCATCACTCCACAACTCCTGCAAACCTTCAATCTTCAATTCAACTTCTTATATGGAAAAAATCAGGTGGAGAAGAATGTTGAATTGAAGAATTAAGTCAATTAAATCCATTCTCAAGCTCTCAAAACTACTCATGAATTCTTTTACTTATCCTTGGTCAACTACTACAAACCTTCATCCCTTTTCAAGTCCCTTGCCCAAACTCACTCTTGGCAGATGAAGTTAACTCATGTATCAATAACAATAAAGGCCACCAGACTCCTTTAACTACCTAACCCTCTTCCCTCTCATTATACACCTTGACTGACCTATTTCTATACATTTCCCCTTAAAGACAACGGGATGGCTTCGTGTACTTAAAGCTTCTCCTTTCAGCTGTGTTCTCTTATTCCTCTCTGCTGGTCTATTACTAATGCTAATTAATAATTACCCCCTCGTTCTGTAATTTCAACCTCTCTAGTAGTTCCTCCCCATCACCCTATAAATATGCTTACATACTACACACTTTTAAAGGAAGAAAGAGGAGAGGAGGATGGGGGAGAGGCGTGGAGAAGAGGGACAAAAAGAGAAAAGAAGAGAAAATAACAGAAAAGAAAAAAGAAAAGAGAAATTCCCTCAGTTAGGTCTCCTGTCTATAGCTAAGCTAAGGACTGGTATGCATGTAGTCTATCTCCTTTCTCTTTTATTCTATTCCTCAACTGACTACAACAAGGCTTCTACTACTACAGAAGGTATAGCAGGTACAGACTTGCTCTGGAAAAAGTAAATGACACCCTAATGGCCAAATGCAATCAACACTAGAGTTAGCTCTAACACATGACAACTGCATGAAGTTAAGAGGTGATCATTAAATATTTCTTTAGTAAACAAATGAGTAAAACAATTCACATCTCATGCACTCAAGTTTTCTGTCATCTAGACCAGTGCTCTTTCAGTAAACTAGCATTTCTTATAAACAAAGTGATGATTTTAAAAGAACAAGTTTGCTACAGTTTTATGAAAAACATCAGGCCAAAACTTGAAGTTTGATAGTCCAATAACAGTGGATTTCTTGATTGCTCTAATTTTATTTCATTGGATTGATTTGGGAGAAGGATGAAATAGTCATATTCTGTTCTCTGGTTCTAATCTCCTGAATCCTGAACAAATTCCAATATACACATCTTTATGTACTACAATGGAAAATATGCAATATCACCTATGTAATATTCCCAAAAGCATTTAGCCTGAATCTAATCATGAAGAAATGGTCAAACAAATCCAAACTGTGGAATATCTACAAACAAGGGGCACAGACTCTTAAAAAAGAGTCAGTGTCTTGAAGACCAAAAATGGCTGGGACATCATTCTACATTTAAGGAACTAAATAAAAATAAAGACCAAATGTAATATGTGATCCTTATACACAAATTGTTCACAGCCTAAACCGGAAACAATCCAAATATCCATCAAACGAAATGTGGTATGGCCATACAATGGAATATTATTCAGCCATAAAAAGGAATGAAGTACTGATACACATTACAGCATGGATGAACCTTGAAAACATATGCCAAATGAAATAAGGCAGACCCAAAAGTCCACATGTTATATGATTCCATTTATATGAAGTCCAAAACAGGCAAGTTCATAGAGACAGAAAGTAGATTCACGTTGCAAGGGAATGGGCAAAGGGAGGAACTGGGAAGTATGGGGTTCTTTTTGTGGTGATGGAAACATTCTGGAATTAGATACACCCTGGCTGCACAACATTGTGAATATATTAAACCACTGAACTGTATACAGTTCTAAGTGGTAAAAATGGTGAATTTTATCTCAATTTTAAAAAACACAGAGCAGCAGCTCTATCTCAAGGAGGTCACAATCCAATGTTCACAATCTAACAGAAAAGATAAATTATCCACCCTTATGACTGAAATACATAATAAAGTAGATGTATTAAAATTTGCTAAAGGAGATCAGAAATTCAGCACCTTTGCCTGGAGGAATCTGGAAAATCTTTATGAAAGAGGTGACATTTCAGCAGGACCTAGATGGATCCTGATAGGTATGAATGGGGAAAGAATAATGTACAGTCAACTGCCACACAAGATTCTTATCCCTACTCTCCTCCTCCTCCTTATCCCCACAACCCTACCCCTGCCCTGTGACTTACTACTCTGCCTCTACATTTACTTATTTTATATATTTTCACAGCTTAAGAAAAAAGCACAGTCAATGTAATATCTAAATGTGCAAATAAGCACATGAAATATGGTTCCAAAATTTCTATTACTCTCACAGTAGAAAGTATAGAAGAAAAGATGTTATTATATAATTACCATTTGGCTCTCATCATAATAATAACTGATCTGGGCAAGAATCACCAGTGGATGTTGTATTAGTTTTCTACTGCTGCCATAACACAATATCTCACGCTCAGTGGCTTAAACAACATAAACTTATATTATCCTACAGTTTTGTGTATTAAAAGTCTGACATGGGTCTTACCAGGCTAAAGTTAAGGTGTGGGCAGGGCTGCCTTCCCTTTGGGAGGCTCTACAGGAAAATCCATTTCCTTGTCTTTTCCAGCTTCTAGATACTGCCCACTTTCCTTGGCTCAAGGCCCCCTACCTCAATCTTCAAAGCCAGCAATGGTAGGTCAAGTCCTTCTCACTCTGACCTTCTCTTCTGCTTCCCTCTTCCACTTTTAAGGACCCTTTTGATTACAGTGTGCCTATCCAGATAATGCATGGTAATCTCCTTTTCTTAGCAGCCTTAATTCCATCTGGAATTTTAATTCCCCTTTGCCTTGTAACCTAACATATTCACAAGTTCCAGGGATTAGGACAAGGACATCTTGAGGGGGGTGGGGAGGTGGGACACCATTTTGCCCATCACAGATGCTAAAACTAGTGATAAGATATTTACATATGTCAAAGTATCTCCTGATATGATTCTTATTAATAAAGGAAAAAGAAAAAATTTAAAATGAAACTCACCTACTTTGATAATTACATTATGATCTTACATTATGATTATGTATGAAAAGATCTTTGTTTTCAAGAAATACAGAATAAAATATTTCAGAGTAACTTACTCTTTCTCCTAAATAATATTCTCAAGTGGTTCAGAAAAAAATTACATATAAATATAGATACCTACACACATACACAAATACACACATATAGAGAATAGGTCCATGAATTCTTTGTATGATCCTTGCAACTTTAAGAGAAAAAAATCCTACTGGTATAGCTCATAAGCAAAAAGCATAAGAAAACTGAAGATAATTGTGGAGAGGAAGAAATTTCATATGAAGTTTAAGTCAAGGTAATAGGAACTATTCAGTCTAGCAAACTGAAGAGAGGAAATGTAACTGAAGACATTCACTAGAACTAGAGGAAAAAACTTAGTTTTTAAAAAAGCTATTAAAAGGAAATGTCATCTTATGATTGGATAAAGAAGTTGTGGTATATATATACAATAATAGAATACTACTCAGTCATAAAAAATGAAACAATGTGATTTGCAGCAACATGGATAGAACTGGAGATCATCATACTAACTGAAGTAAGCCAGAAAGAGAAGGAAAAATACCATATGGTATCACTTACATGTGGAATCTAAAAAAATATCACAAATGAATTTATTTACAAAACAGAAACAGACTCACAGACATAGAAAACAAATTTATGGTTACCAGGGAGGAAAGGAGAGGGTGAAGGGATAAATTGGGAGTTTGGCACTTGAAGATACTAATAAGTACTACATATAAAATAAATAAACAACAAGTTCCTACTTTATAGCATAGGGAACTATATTCAATATCTTGTAATAGCCTATAATAAAAAAGAATATGAATAGGAATAAATACATATACGTGTATAACTGAATCACCATGCTGTACAACAAAAATTAACACATTGTAAACCGGCTATACTTCAATTTTTTGAAAAATGGAAATCTTGGTAACTAATCGAACTTACTCTAAATGGTGACATAAACAAAAGAGGTGGCAAAAACTAAAACACATTTAAGAATGAATTAGACAAATTTATTCACTGCAGATTATTAAGGAATATTGTATTTAGACACATATTTCTAAACTTTAGAATTTGATATCAAAGAAGGCTAAAATGTTGCCCTTTCGTGTTACAGAAACATCCCTGAACTAGTTCAGTCAGTAACCCTAGTCGTTAGTAAATATATTACCTTTAACATTCTTACACCTATATATAGTTCTAGTTCAAAAGAATTATCTAGTTAAGGGAATTAAAAACTTTAAACTAAAGTGTTTTAGTAGTTTCAAACAACCTATATCATAAAGTAGTACTTTTAACATATGTAAGTAGAATGTACAAAGGACAATGGCTTTGAGAAAGCATATCTAGTGGATGAATTATTGACACTTACCTGTTACTTCTTTTAACTGACTTGTTCTGCCATGGTGGATCTATCACAATTACATCATATGTTTTCCTACCTGAAAGCAAAAACACAATTTCAGAAAATATCTTCTATATGTATCACTTTAAAAACCAAACACATTCTTCAACACTGAAGTACATTCATTACATTCACAAATATAAAGGAATGCAACAAAAGCTTCTGTTCAATTAGAATAATTTATCTAAAAAAATTAAGAGACTTCTCTTATATTTCAGTGCCTCTAAGATTTCAATATAATTTCACCTATTGCTATTTTTGCAGAGACTTACTAAAAATACCTATAACTCACTTAGCTAGACATTAATGATTTGTAGATGTCCTATAAGTCTTGGCAGCCATATTAATATGTTACTTTCAAACCTAAAAAGGGTGGTGGGGTTTTTTGCTTTATTTTTTTTAACTTTTTATATGAAATAAAACTTTAGCCTTTTAATTGATATTTGGATGAAATATCAATTAAATGATGAAATTTCCCCCAATCTGTGAAAGTTCCTCAGTCATTTGTCTTTTATGACCTTGGCACTTTTGAAGACTAGTGGCTAGTTATTTTATAGAATGTCCCTCAGTTTATGCTTGATATTTCCTTGTGATTAAATTTAGGTTATTTATTTTTGGAGAGAGTACCACCAAAGTAATGCCATGCCCTTGTCAGAACAATATCATCAGGAAATATATGATGTCAAAATGTCTCATTATTGGTAATACTACTTTTGATCACTTGGTTAAAGTGTTGTCAGCCAGATTTCTCCAGTTTTACCTTCCTAATTAACAAGTATATTCTGAGGCAATAATTTAAGACTGTGCAAATATCCTGCATCTCATCTTTTCAGCCACTATTTTGAAACCCAAATACTATGGAGTATGCCAAATTGAAATTTTCTAGGTACATCATTCTACCCACATTTATTCATTGGAATTTTACTATAAGGAAGAGCTATCCTTTTTCCCTTTATAAGCAAAGGTATATTTCTGTAAATGTACAATCTCATAAGTAATCAAAAAAAATGCAAATTAAAACAAGGAAGTAACAGTTTTTTAAGTATGAGAGTAATAAAGAACAAAAAGAATGGGAAAAAATGTTCAAATATAGCATGATTTCCATATTAATTTGTTCTCTTGTTATTTACCCTAAAGAATTTATGACATTATGACATGAATAACCACTCTTGTGTAAGGTGGCTTGATAGTAATTAGAAGCAGCTTTTCAATAATAAGCTGTTACTTTAGTAACTTAAAGTTTTGCTATAAAATGTCCAAATAACAATAAATAACAGATTAAATCCAACTTGATCAATAAACCGCTTATCTACCTCATCTCTTAGTAATCATAGACATAATTAGAAACATATAAATCACTGAAGTATGCTCCTTAGTACAGATTATCTAATCTAAACCTCAAAATTACCCTCTTAAATAGGTGTTATCACATACATTTTATAGATTAGGAAATTGTGGTTCAGTTTGTGAAGTGCCCAGGATTCACAGTTAAGCTTCAGAAGGTAAATTCAAATTCAGGTGTACATGACTCTGGACTTCAATATCTAAATTTTTAACTTTATACAGGAAAATATTTTAAGAAATTTTAGATAATAAACCTGAACAGTAGCTTAAAATGTAACCTAAAAGCCTAGGAATGGTTTGGGAATTAACATTCATATTTGAAACATTTCTACTTTGCTATGAATAAAAGTTAAATAAAGTTACTCACTCAAATCCAATTGTATCCTGAATTTCTAAGTATAGAGCAGTAACTATGTTTACTCTTTCGAGGACTAGTTAAGTTTTTGACCTTTTGTTTCTAATAAGAATTTTTTTTAATTTTAAGCAAAATTCAGCACTTTGAAACTGAATTTAAAAGAAAAAAATACACTGAGAAAATTAAGTGTTTACCCTACCATAAATGTTGATGGTCATTCAACATTCAGACTTGCTCTTGACTTTTAAGACCAGAGAAAAATTATCTTTTTCTAATGAGAAACATAATAATTACTTACAGTTCAGAAGCGGCTGCATACAAGAAATGTCAGACAAAAGAAAACTGCTTTTTGGTGGCAGCAGGTATTTCTGTCCCATTAAAGTCATCATTTTTGTAAAGCTAGAGTTGTTCTCAACAACCCGTGAAAATAAATCCTGCTCTGTAACAGATATATCATCTTCTGTCAATTGTAATGTCTGAAGTTCCAATTCATTCAGAGAAGGCAAACGCTTTGCCATTTCACATAATTCTGACAAACTGCAGGTATCAAGTGGTAATTTAACGGGCTCACTACACTTGTCCTGTTTTTCAGAAAGTGGATGAAGAAAGCCACTTTTGAAACCTTCTTGGATTAACTGTGAGGATCCATCCAAAATTAGCCCCCTGATCTGTAAGAGAATTTTTTAAAGTACATTAGAATGTTACTGCCATTAAAACAATTTTCTAAATAATAAAGTTCCTACTATGTTTTGAATATCTGAACTTATGGACTGAAATCAACATTCTTAATGCTTACAGTAAAGTAATTTTATACTATAATAAAAAGTTAGAAAGTATGAGTATACCTTTAAACTGCTGTTTCCTAACTGTAATGAAACAAACCTCACAAACATACTAAAGATTAAATAACCAAACAATAAATATAAGAAAACATATCCTTTAAAATGAATAAGATGAATCTGGTAATGTTTCTAGAAGAAAGAAGAATTTCTGATCCATAAAAAGAATTAAGTTTAAATTACATTTAATCTTGTATTTTTCTAGTAATTTAATTTTAAAATAAGGGTACCTTTGATTTTATAAAATACAGCTTGAATTATAAAAAAAGAAAAAATTAACCCTATAAAATGAATATATAAACAAAGTTTTACAATAATACAACTACAATAATTATAAAATTAAAAGCCAAGTTCTGTTTCTGGACAAAATGGAGTACTTTTCATCTGAAATTACTTTTTTTTTTAATTATTAAAAAAAAAAAGGCTTTCAGACTTTGGATGGATGTCAAGCAGTACAGAACAGTGGTCCCTAAAAAAGGAGAAACCAACTGCTCCAGCTTACTTCCCTTGAGAAAGTTTCTGGTTAGCAGTACAGGAAGGAGACCAGTTCAGAATCCAACAGTCTCTCTGAGTTAAGGAGATAGAGCTGGGAGTCTGGAAAGGCCAAGGCAGGTAGAGTTAGTAGGGGATGATACCAGAGAGGAGAGAGCTGAACAGGGAGAGAGCTCTTGAGAGCTACAGAGGGTCAAGGCTCCAGGTGAGTAGTGATCAGCACACAGAGGTGTACTGAAATACACATACAGAAATACCCAAGGTCAGGGAAAGAACCAGAAAAAACGACCAGAGAGGGCAATCCCCAGAGCTTACACCAGACTCGTGCAGCCCATTTCTAAAGATTAGGGGGGAAAAAGCAGAAAGGGACATTAAGGCATTTATTATAACCATATTCATATGTCCAGAAATGTAAAGAAAAATGAGCCTGTTAAGAAGAGATAAGGAAACGATAAGAAAAGACCAAACTGAGTGTCTAGAGAGAAAGACTATAATGAAGAAATTAAAAATACACTACACTGGATTAACAGCAGATTACTAAAGGAGAAGAGATTAAATACAGTTGAAGACAATGCAATAAAAGTGTCCAAAATGAAAGGGACAGAAAAAATATTTGAGGAGACAACGGCCAAAAATTTCCAAATTTGCTGAAGACTATGAATTCACAGATCCAAGAAGATCAACAAATGGAGGAGGAGGCAGAGGATGGGAAAACTACATCAAGGAGTATTACAAATTGCTGATAATGTTCAAAGAAGACAGAGACTTCCACTTCTGACCAAGATGGAGTAACAGGTACAACAGCTTTTAAGAAACTGGACACCAAGCAACAGAGGAGAGTGAAAGAAATCATTTGTGAGCCCTATGACTGCCCCAGCTAACTGCCTGGAGAGTTTCCAGGCCAAAGGAAGGAAGAATCTGAGCACAGTCTAGAAGAAATCCAGACAGAGCTGAGGATATGGGGGTGCCGAAACAGGTAGAGTTCATGGGAGAGTACCAGAGAGGAAAGAACTGTACAGAGAGAGAACTCGGTACATCTTCAGGCAGCCACACTGGAGAAATTCCTATAAATACTGGTCAGTGCAAGTGTGTGAAAGAACTACCCATGGCCAGGAAAAGGATCACCCAAAAGGACTAAAAGAAAGTATCCGGAGCTTTTATAGAGCCAAGACTCAGACTGAACACCTCATGATTTACAGGACAACTGGAAGACAATTCACCATGGGTCTCTCCGTGTGAGCAGAGGCACTGACAGCTTTCCTTCCCGAATAAATTTTCAAGGTGTTGGTTTGCAACCTTGGAAGCCTCATGGCTGAAATCTGAAACCAGCCCCTGGAAACAGAGGACAAGGAGAGACCATAAGAAAGAGGCAGGCCACTCTAGATAGGTAGATGGCAGGTTTAATAACAAGGGAACGTACATACCAGGCTGCAAGATAAAAAGATCTCTGTACCTGTCCCCCAGCATCTTAAAAGTTTATATAGAAGCCTTAACTGGGTTCAGTCACATACATAGTCCAGATGGTTTCAACAACCGCTTACTCTCTCAAGGCTATGTCCTTGAAAGCAGCTCCCACTGTGGGAACAGTGGGCAGCATATACACCCCAAGGATAGGGGAGAGGTGAGGAGTCTTCGACTGTCTGGGTTAACCACTGGTCACATCCTCTCTATCAGTTCCTCCAACACAAGGTTACTTATACAGCATGGAAAATGGAGATTGTGTCTCCCTCCAAGCCAGAGGGCAGATCTGCTTGCTGTCCAGGTTAGTAAAGGCTCCCTTTGGGACAAAAGATTGGACAGGTTTGTCTGCAACCCATTTTAAAAATTTGGTTCCCTAACCTTGGGGTTCTTTAGCTGTGAATCAAATCTACTGCATGCAGAGCATCCAACAAGACTTCTGGGCATTGTCTCCATGCAACTTGGAGTTCAAGGGAAGTCTATGAACAAAAAGCATATACTTCCTGCTATACAGGGAGCAATAAGCTCCTTATTTTAATAAAATCTTAGGTCTAAACTTGCTACCTTGCTAGCTTCCAAATAGGGTAGAATCTCAGACCCATCACAGCTCTTGACAGGGGTGTTGGGTAGATCACAGATCTTATGCCAGTAAAAAGGAATAATCAGCCTTAAACTAAAAAATATCATTCTAAACTCACCTAAAAGAATCTACAAACCAAAAGCCTTTAAAGACATGGAAGTTCTTTCTGAACAAAACTATCAATCAAGTTAATCTCTCATTCACAGAGCACTGCACCCAACAATAGAATACAAAATATACAAAAATATATTTAAAATAGCACACAATACAGTCACAAAGATAATTCATACAGTTGACCATAAAACAAGGCCCAATAAATATAAAGGGACTGAAATTATCAGAGTATATGCTTACACCCCAGTGGATTTAAGTTAGAAATCAGTAACAAGAAGATATCGAGATAAACCTCAAATGTCTGGGAATGAAACATCAGACTTATAAATAATTCATACAGGTCAAAGATGAAATCACAAGGGAAATTAGAAAATATTTTGAAGTGCATGAAAGTGAAAATGCAAAATATGTGGAATGTAATTAAAGCAGTGATTCAAGTGAAACTTACAGCTTTAAGGCTTATATTAGGAAACAAAAAATATCTAAACTCACTGGTTTAAGGTTCCACTTTAAGAAGTCAGAAAAAGAGCAAAGTAAACCAAAAGGAAGAAAATAATAGAGAATAGATATCAACAAAATAGAAAACAGACAGTAAAGAAAAGTAACTAAGTTAAAAGCTGGTTCTTTGAATATACTTGATATCAACTCATGTGTCTGATAAGGGACTGATATCCAGAATATATAAAGAACTGCTAAAACTCAACAACAACAACAAAAACCCAATTTAAAAATGAGCCAAGGACATGAGCAGACATTTCTTCAAATGGCCAATAGCATATAAAAATACGCTCAACATCACAAAATCATCAGAAAAATGCATACTGAAAGCACTCACACCCTTTCGGATGGCTATTTAAAAAAACAAAACAAAAACAGAAAATAACAAGGGCTGACACGGATATGCAGAAACTGAAACCCTTATGCATTACTGGTGGGAATGTAAAATAGCACAACCACTGTGGAAGACAATATGGCAGTTCCTCAAAAAATTAGAAATAGAATATCATATGATTCCGTAATTATACTTGTAATTATACTTAAAAAAACTGAAAGTGGGGACTGGAACTGCTACTTGTATACTCATATTTATAGCAGTATTACTCACAATAGTGAAAAGGTGGAAACATCCCAAATGTCCATGAACAAATGAACAGATAAATAAAATGTGGCATTTAGTTACAGGGAAGGGGAAATGGGAAGTTATTGTTTAATGGTAGAATTTCAGTTTGGGATGACAAACTTATTCTGGAGATAAATAATGGTGATGGTCACCAAACAATATGAATGTACCCACTGCCACTGAATTGTACACCAAAGAGTGGTTAAAATGGTAAATTTTATGTTATGCATATTTTGCCACAATGAAAAAAAAACCCTGGTTCTTTGGGGTGAAAAAAAAAAACAATAAAATAATAAGCCCCTAGCTAGAAAAAGAAAGAACACAAATCACCAACATCAGGAATGAAAAAGATTATCACTTATCATCAAAAGTCCTATAGACATCAAAAGCAGGATAAGAGAATACTATGAACAACTTCATGCCAATAAATCTGACAAGCTGGATGAAATGGACAAATTTCTTGGAACACATAATTTGCCAAAATTGATATAAGCAGAAGCTGAAAATCTCAAAATCCCTGTTATCTAGTAAAGAACCTGATACCATTACTAAAATCCTTCCCCAAAAGGAACTTCCAGGCCTAGATAATTTCACTGGTGAATTACATCCAATGGTCAAGGACGAAAAAACACTGATCCTATAGAAACTTCAACAAAGAATGTACGTAGGTGTCAAATAGCAAATGAAAAGATTCTCAACATTATTAGTTATCAGGGAAATGCAAATTAAAACCTCAGTAAGATACCACTGTATACTTACTATTATTCCTAAAATCAATAATCTGATGAAATCAATGCTAGTGAGGATATGAAGCAAATGAAACTCTCATACTTTGCTGGGAGGAAATGCAACAAAGTACAGCCACTCTGGAAAGGAAACTGGCATTTTTTATGGACATAAATATAACATTAACCATCAATCCAAAAAACACCACTCCAACATGGAAATTTAAAACTTTATTACAAACAACTCTTAAGGAAATCTCTAGAAAACCATGATATTTCATTGAAATTTCACATCATGACAATTATAACACAACATATTAGAATCTATGGGATGCTGCAGTGCTCAGAGAGAAAAATCATAACATTGAATATTTCCATCAATAAAAAAAAGAATTAAAAAAAAGAAATGAATTAAGATAACTCAAAAAGACAAAAAATAAACAGAAGGAATAAATTAATATGAATTAAAGCAGAAATGTTACAAATTTTTAAATTAACTTAATTTCAAAAATTACTAACAAATTTACAAAAACTATTAGCTAATCTATCTCAAGAGCAAATATACAACATAAATAGTGAAGGCAAAACAACCACAAATAAATTTGAGAAATGAGATGAAATGGATAACATTCTCAGATAATGTAATTTACCAAGACTGACCTACAAGAGTTTTTTTAATCTAAAGTTGATTTCCAAAGAAGAAAAAGGAAAGGCTGTGAAAGTATCCCCACAAAAAGCAATACACTGAGATGGTTGCAAAGCAAAGGAGAAGTCTACCAAACTTCTGAAGAACAGATTACTCCAGACAATTGGGGAGAAAAAAAACTTCCCACTTCCAACACTGATATATGTAAATATCTGTATATAACTATTTATAAAACGCAAAAATTAAGTATATCAGACCAATCTCACTTATCACTGTCCCAAATAAAATATTAGCAAATAAAATCCAGCAGAACATTTAAAAAATAATGTATCACAGTCATTTGGAATATATACTACAAATGCAAGGGTGGTCACATACGAGTAAAAATCAAAGGAAAATATTAGGAGAAAAATCATCCCATTCAATCTCCATAGGTGGTTAAAAAAACTTTTAATAAAATTCTATAACCAATTTGATAATAATGAAAAATAAGAATAGATGTTAAGTTCTTTAACATGCTATTTCCAACTCAGCCTGAAACCCAGTGGAGAGGAAATCATCTCCACTAAGTTAGGAACAAGGATAGATACTCTCACAAATATTACTTAATATTGTATCATATTTTCAAGCCTATACAATTAAAGAAGAGAAATAAGTTAGAGATAGAATAATTAAAGAGGTGTAAGTAAAACAATTAATATTTTTAAGAGTTATAGCTATTACCTGTAAAATCAAAACATTCAGTTTTTAAAAATTAATGCAAGACTTTTATAAAGAATATTTTACAGAATGACAACAGAAACTTAAACAGATAAAAAAGAAACATTTATGTTTTGGAGCAGAGTCATCAACATCTTAAAGATATTAATACTACCCTAATTAAATTTATAAATTTAATTTGATGACATAAAAATTGCAGTAGGTTGGTTTTTCTAATCAGACTTTAAAATTGATCCTAAAATTCCAATGGGAAAATAAGCAAACAGGCCAGGAAAATTCTGTAAAAAGGAGCAATGAGAAAATGGCCCAGGGAGGAGGAGAGGGGAGGATAAGTACTACCAGATATTAAAACATACTCATATTATAAAATCTCAAAAGAGGCTGGCAAATAAATAGTAAGACAAACAATTAAATAAGATTTAAAATCCAGAAATAAACTCAAATACTTATGTGAATTTAGTACAGCTAACATCTCAAATCAGCAGGGAAAAACTGCATGAATAATGGTGGGACATATAGGTAGTCATCTGGATAAAAAACAAAATTGGCTCCATACCTCACACTTTTTACCAGAATAAAATCTAAATGGATCAAAGATATAAATCTGAAATAAAACCATAAATGCTGCAGAAGAAAACATGGGAAATTATTTTAAAGCCTTGAAGAAGGAATACTTCTCTAATTATTATTCAAAAATTCAGAAATCATTAAAAAAAATTCAACTAAATAAAAATATAATATTGTCTGCATGGCGAAAACAAAAACAAAAAATCATAATTATACTTAAAAGGACAAATTGGGAAAAATACATAATTTAGTATATGTGCTGCCATAGCAAGCACAATATTGTTAGTTTATATGATGGACAAACCTAATTTCTCTAATATATAGAGTGCCTATAAATCAGTGAGAAAAAGAACAAACCAATTTTTTTAAGTGTGTAAAGGAAACAGTTCACATAAGAGAAATATAAATGAATTTCAAACATACATAAAAATGCTTAACTATATTCATAATAAATGCAAATTCAATCCATACTAAAATACTATTTTCAACTATTAGATTGACAAAGATCAAAAACAATATATTGTGACAGTAAGGATGTGGGAAAACAGGCAAAATTATACATTTCCAGTGTGCTAATAAGATGAGGCACTCTCTATAGTAGCAATTTGTCTGTATCTATCAAAATGTTCAAACCCTCTGACCCAGCACTTTCTGAGTTCTCAAAATTTATCCTGCAGATACACACATGCGTATGGAAAATGACACATGCATACTATACCGAAATGTCAGCAATTAAAGATTAAGTATGAAAGACAATGAAATATAAACCTCTGAGCTCAGAAATAACATTCTTCACATTATTCATACTTACTTCTGCGACTATCCTAATATGTTGTTTTACCTACAGACAATAGGCTTTTATAACTTATAAAATTTCTAGACTTAACCAATATAGCTTAACTTCGCTTATGCTAAATATATAAATAAGGTGTATATGAGGTTTTAATAAAAATTGGTTTAAATTGCTCATTACTATAAAAGTAGCAGTAAATCACTCCACTGTTACTCTAACCTTGATTAAAATGACAGCTTGATTTTTAAGAACATCCTTATTTACACTGTCCATTTATTTATACTAGTTTGCATTAACCTTCCAATGTCATCAATGAACATTTTACACCTTACCTTTGTATGGTATTCCATAGCATCCAATTCACCTTGATTGAAAACAACACATCTTTTCCGTTTCTAAAGAGTAAGTTACAAGGAGAAAATTAAGTTGCCATCTATCATTATATTGATATTTTGAAATATACTAGTATTTCTTTTTTCTTTATCTTTATCACATTTTCCATATTGTGTATATCATTCTTTAAGAGATAATAATTAATTGTTGAGGTTGAAATCAGTCTAAGATCCAAGAGGGCAGAGACTGTAATCATCTTGCCTCATCACTCTACATACAACAGCACATAGAAAGATACCAACATTTATTGGGTGAATAATGAATGTAATTTCTCTAACAAAGAAAATATTATTATAATCTATCTGAAATGGACTTTGTATAATCACCTCTGAACTCTTCAAAGGCAGAAAAGTACTAAAGCATAATTAATTTGATCCTATATGGCATTCTCAAAACTTCAATGCACCAGTGTGTATACAAATATATATACTTCAAGAATACATTTTCCAGAGAAGCTTTCTACTTTTTTACCTTTGAAAAATATCACCATTCTTCCAAACATTTATTGTATAAGCTTATCCCCAAAGGGTAGGTCTCTAAAATTCTCCCAAAATCTATATTCTGCTTTAGACTTTTGCAAATAAAGAGACATGTTTTTGAGCAAAAAAGAGATACAAAAACATGCAATTAATAAAGAAACCTAGGCAGAAAGAGGTTTTTTTTTTTGTTTAGTTTTGTTTGTTAGCTTAATTTACAGAGCATTCACTTTTGAATCAACTTTTGCTTACTTTTAAAATATGCAACTTTGGTCTTCTATGCATGGTAGACGTCAGCAAAAAGTTAAAAATTACTCTGGGCATGCTAAAGGCTTATTGTGTTTTATTGATTATTCTTTATACTTAGTAAATCACAAGATATTTGAGATGCCGGAATAATAAATTTGTGTTTCCTGTAGAAAAATTAAAATTTCTTAAAACATTACCTTCCCAGTAACAGAAATGGAGATTTCTTTTTTAACATCATTTACTAGATCTTCCTTTTCATTACTTTGTTCGCATTCTTTGTGAATAACAGAAGTTATATAAGGTTTGGTGACATTAAACAGTTCAGATCGAAAAACATATCTTTGAATGAACATTTCAAAGTTTCCTCCATCATCATCCTCTGGCTTAGTAGTAGAAGCACTAAATGTAGCAGAGGCTCCAAGAGAGGACACAGAATCCATGCGAAGAGAATCAAGGTGAACAGAAGAAATAGGCTCATTTTTACTGTAATAAGGCTGATGAAGTTCATAGTTTATCTTGTTAATGAAAGAAAGATGATCCAGTAACCATCCTGGTGACAGCTGGTGCACCACAGACATTCTCTTCCTTAGAATAAAAAAAAAGTAAGTAAAATTAAGAAAAACGAAAACAAAACACTCTGAGAATTAGACGTTAGAAGTAAAACCCAACTCTCCTGAATAACTTCTTGTTTTGTTTTGTTTTGTTTTGAAGTTCTTGGTTTTTCTTTGATACAGGTACTGGGGATTGAACCCATTTAAGTCCTTAAATGTCCTGTTTTTCAATAAAAATATACTTCATACACACAAGTAGATCTGATGTGCAGGTATATAAACTTGACATGTACATAGAATTTAAATTTTATGATGTTCATATATAAAGCAGGACTAAAATTGCAGTGTTTTAATATAAACTTTTAATTTCAGGGTTGATAATTCAAAATGTTCAGCCAGCTTAACCAAACCTGATCTTATTTCTGGAATCCCAATTAGACCCTCCTATCTTCCGGGAGGATATACAGGATACACAACCTCCTGCTTGGAACTTGGATCTAGCCACTAGTCTACATCCTCCAAGTCAGGAAGGCACTGAATCCTTAGAATGTGCAAGCGTCTTGTCAAAGAATTACCCGTGAGAATTCACCCTTCTAATGAGATAAATCTAGAGAAGGTAACAAAATTCTAGAGTTGTTAGCAAGTCAGCCCTTATTTTTCCAAACTACATTTGCCATTCTCCAGTATCACTGCACTATTTAATCACTGCTATCAACGGAGTGCAAAAAGGGCAAAAGCAGGGCAAAATGCAATTTCAACATCACATCAGAAGCACTAACCTCAAGCAAAATTGCAAGGTTAAGAGTACAGATTTGCAGTTGGTTCTGAGCACTCCTCCTATGACAATTAGATTTCTCAGAACTTCCTTACCTTTTCTTAAAAGATGATTTTTAATTGTGGATATTGCTTATTAAATCTACTGTAGTGGAGGACTTAAGAGGGGGAAGAGAATAAAAAATACATTAAGTGGTTAACAGCACCGTGACTAATAGATGCATTTAGATTCAAACTTCTAACTTCATGTATGAGCAGTATGACGATGAACAAGTTATTTTATTTCACTGAGCCTCAATGTCATCATTTTTTAGGACATCGCAGAAGGCAGTTTAGAGAATTAAAGGAGATAACCGACATGAAGTTTTGTGCACAGCGTCTGATACCAAGCAATAGCTCAAGTAAATGCTACTTATTGGCAGTGGAAATTCTGTTATTGGTCCTCCCTTTAGAGTCATCACTTGTGGTGACGAGGTCCTGAAATGGCGAGTGAGAGCTAGAAATGTAGACAATAGTGAAACTCAGACAGGAAAGGTGGCGTGCCCAAAGTTAAAACTCGTTACTGCGGCTCTGAGCTCTCCTCCCACCCCACCACTCTTCAGGTTTGGGGTTGTGTTTGCCTCTGAGTTCAAACGCAGGGAAGCGGGGATGTCCTTTTTTACCAAAGTAATGTACTGTGCTTACTGCACTTCTCTCTCCGACTTCTCTGCTTCACACTGGATGCCTCCAGCTTCTCACAGGCCACCACCAGAGGACCGCGGAACCCACAGAGCAAATTCTGAGCCCGAACACTGGCGGCGGCCTCAGCGCCGCCACCCTCGGAGCCGACTACGCGCACAGTGCAGTCACCGGCGAGTCCCACCTCGCCGCTTCCCCTGTCAGAAAAGGGCACGCCGTCTTCCCAGATTCGCATCATGAAACAGCACCCAGCTAAACAGTGGTCATGAAAGACCCTCCCCTCAGAGCAAAGGGGGGAAAATTTTCTCCTTTTCTAAGAGCTATGGGAGCGGCCATGTTGCTGTACGGAAAAAGCGTTTCCAGAGAGGCTTGGAACGCTCTGCTTGCTACTCAGGGTCCTAGAACGCTCGGGTGTCCCCAGCTAAATTTTAGGGTCGGACCAGACTTCATAGGGGACGCTTACAGCTGACAGGAGACACCAGTGCGCCCCGTGAGGCGGCGGGGCACGACCAGCACGCACCGTTCGGGCGACGAAGAGCGGCGCGTAAGAGCTGCGCATGCGCGCCCACGTCGGCGTGATGACGTCAACGCCGGCGGAGAATTTAAAATTCGAAGGGCGCCGGCGGGTGGAGGAAGGGGTTTGTGTTTTGGCGGCCGCGCTTCTGCCTGGCGGGCAGTTGCACGGTTTACAGAAATTCGGCTCCTGGGTCGCGTCAAGAAGCTGGAAGAAAGTTGACTAATGACTTTTGGCTAATTTTTGTTCCGATGGTACTCGTCTGGAGGGAGAATGTCATGGCGCCAGCAAGTTGAATTTAGCGGCCTAGAGTGACGACGTTTTGGTGTTTTTTGCTGTTATAACCAGTCAACAGGCCGAATCTGTGGCGAGCCGCTAGTTTCCCGGATTCCAGTATATTTCTAACAGCAGTGATTTCCCAAGGAAGAAGGTGAGGGCCAAGGGGGCACTGATGGGGAGAAGAGGGCTTGGAGGAATGGGTGGGAGCGGGGAGAGGAAATACAAGACGAGGAACCGTTTGTGTGTGGCGTTTCACATAACAGGTGGTAACATTCTGGTGGCCGTGTACCGAGTACATTTAGAAATCTTCTCAAATTGTAACAGTACATTTTAAGTGGAGATTGGGAGTGAACATATAGATGAGAGTGAAAAAGTATAATAGATACAGAAGCATATACTGTAGAAGAAATAGGTGGCCAAACAAAGAAGGCAAAGGTGTAATCAATTTAAAAGACAAAGGCGAGCCTAGAGAAAAAAGGATACCCACAGGTGTCCAGTTTCCAGGAAGGCAGGGCAGGAGCAGAAAATGGCTAAGTATATAGTGTCTACTGCCTCAGAGATGAGCTAGGATCAAAAAAGATTTGTCAGTCATGAGTATCCCAGAAGGCAATGGTTTCAGTAGATGGGGAGGGAATGAGATGAGAATGTGGTCTCAGAAAATGGAAGCAGTTTGTAGACCAGATGATTTATCATTGGTGAAAGGGAAATTGAAGCAAGAGGGGCAATAATTGAAGAATATAAATGGGAAACGGTAGGTTAAGGACAGAGCAAGAACGATTGACATTGGGAAAAGAAAACAGAATAGCTTTGTTCTGAGACCACAGAAAAGGAAACAACTGAGGTAGGTCTTGTCAGGTAGCCTCTGACTTCCCATTGAAATAGGCACAGCCAATAGCAATGGTGTGGCCTGAGTTAGAGTTTCAACTACAATGAATCCCCTGTGAAGGAAGGAATCATGCCTTATTCATCTTTGTACTGTTTGCATAGCTTTGCACATTTGCTTGTACATGGCGTTTAAGTGTGTTGAATATTTTTTAATGCAGTTAAATAGATAATTCTTGAAAATGAGGACTTCACCTTACATGAGCAAGTAAAGATAGCTTGGGAAAGATTATCTTGAAGAAACAATGAAACTTGGCTACCTTTCTGTTTGAGGATAAAGTTAATAGTTGGTGCTTCATGTACCATCCATGTCTGGAAAGACTTTCTTAATTCCAAATTCATGAATGCAGGTCATAAGCATGAAACGCAGCTCAGTTTCCACCGGTGGTGCTGGCCGCCTCTCTATGCAGGAATTAAGATCCCAGGACTTAAATAAACAAGGACTCCATACCCCTCAAACGTAAGTACCTCATGCCTTGATGTCTTTGAGGAAGAAATGTGTAAAGGTGGTTACTACGAAGATGTAGTGTGAGTGATGTGATGAATCGTATCTGTTCTCAGCTGTACCTAATTTGGAGTCAGTTAAGGCTAAAAGTGGACGTGTTACCAAGTGTTGTGTTTTATCTTTTCTGTTCCTTACAAAACCGCGTCCTTTGTTAGGCAATGCTTAAAGGACTACTAATTCCCCTTCAGCACTCTTTCATTCTTATTTTCCTCTTTTAGAGTTGCTTGCTTGAGCAGGTCCTGTGCAGTAACATGCAGTTTACTGAGGTGTATCCAACTAGCCAAGTTCTCGATCAGGTATCATTTGCTCGGACAATTAGCTGCAATTTAGTAGCAGCCAACAGAACACTACTTCACGCTTTTTCCAAGATTCACTGGGGGGAAAAAAAGGTGTCCAAAAGAACTTGCTATCATAAGCTGGTCTTTTCCCTGTGAGTAGTTTTCTTCCAATTAAGAGAAGGCAATTTGTAACCCATGTGAGTTGTAGCAATTGTTCTCTGTGATCACGGTACAGGTTACTTACTTACTGTTCTTAAATTACTTAGGTTTACGCAGAATGAGCCTCTACTACTCTTAGAAATTTGAAACATTTATACATATTTTCTTGTGAAACCGGCGAAATTTTTTTTTGTACTGTCACATATTACAACACCAAAAGATTTCTGCCTCCACATTGTAAAATGATTATAAATCAATAAAAAATGTTAAAAAGAAAAAAAAAGATTTCTGCCTGGAATTGTGTTAGAAGCTAAAAGGCTGCCTTTGTCAATGTTTTTGGTCTGTAATTGTTATAATATGTGTTTTTAATTGTAGCTGCATTGTAATAAAGAGTGGTCCTCAAAAGAAAAAATTTTACATGTGGCTGTCATTCTGTGATTGAAAGTATCTATTTTTAAACCTTTTCTTTTCCTTCGGAGTTATCTATAAGTGCACATATTTAAGATAATTAAAATTACAATGTAGATACGGGTTTTTTTCTACTTTCTTCCTAACATTTTAGTGTTGAAATTTATACTATGTTGTAAGCCTATCCCATTTATAATATGTATGATTGCTGCTAAAATTTTTCATGATTTTGAATTATTGTAGGTAATGGGGGAGAAGGGTTGGTTCCAATGTATTTCCAAAAATTTCTTGAACTAATATTTTTACATTTATTTTAAAGAGTTTGTTTTTTCTTTTTCTTAAAGCAAAGAGAAACCAACCTTTGGAAAGTTGAATTTAAACAAACCCACATCTGAAAGAAAAGTCTCTGCATTTGGTAAAAGGTAATGATATTTTTTATTAATTCTGATGAAGATTCTTACAGCCATGCATTGGGCTAGATGCTGTCAAAGTACAAAAAATTAGATGTCATGGTCCCTTTCAAGAGAAAGTTATAATCTAGTTTTCCTCTCTTTTAAGTGGTTAAAATGGTTATATCTGCTTTAGCTGATTCTGAAAGATACACCAACACATTCAGACCACTATTTCATTGTTACAGGTGAATACTTGATTGAAAATTCTATACATACCTTTCAGATACTGTGGGATCATAGCATTTTAAAATTAGGAACCATCATGTAGTCCAATATTTTAGTCACAGACTTTTTTTATACTCTTAAATGTTAAGGATCCCAAAGAGCTTTTATTTTGTGGGCTATATCTATTGATATTAACCATATTAGAAAGTAAAACAAAAAATTTTAATATATATTAGTTCAATTTAAAATAACAACAGCCCATTACATGTTAACATAAATAACATGCTGTCATTTTTTTAATTTAAAAAATTTCTTTAAAAATTTTAAAAAACAAAACTCAAAACTTTTCAGTGAGAAGAGTGAGACTGATTTTCATTTTTGCAAATCTCTTTAATGTCTAGTGTAATAGAAGATAGCTAGATTCTCATATCTGCTTCTGTATTCAGTCTCTCACAATATCATACATCATGTGGTCAGCCTTGGAAAACTACACTGTACGCTCATGAGAGAATGAGAATGAAAGAGGCAAATAACAGCTTGGTTTTATTGTGAAAATAGTTTTGAACTGTCATATCCCCTAGATCACACTTTGATAACCATTGTCTCGAGTAGATCAGTGATTGCCTGGGCTGGTGGAGAGAGGGGTAAGAATTGACTGTTAAGGGTTATAAGACTTCTGAGATGATGGAAATGTTTAATATCTTGGTCATGGTAGAGATTACACAGGTATATACATTGTCAAACCTCATCAAACTGCACTTCAAACAGGTACACTTTATTCTAAGCAAATTTTACCTCAATAAAGTTAATTTTTAAAGAAATGTCTAACTCCAAAATAGAGAAAATAAACTGTTCTTCTATCTCACCAAAATAAAATACAACTTTGTTTTAAGACAAATATGTTTAATTGTTTTCAAAATATTTAGAGATGACATATTTATTACCTTATGGCATGCAAGAATTCTACCACTGAACCACCAACACTCTGCCCTATCTTATGAAAAGTCTTTGTCATGAAACCAAGTGAGACTGTTTCTGGTATTCATTTAGTTGATTAAAAAAAATCTTAAGGCATTTTTGTAATATAACTTTCATCTCAGAGCTGAACTTCAGAGATAATGATGATAATGATTGTAAAATCTAACATTTGCTGAGCATTTTATAAGTCAGATATTGTTTCAAGTGCTATTTTATATCTCTTTTAATCAATCCTCAAAACAGCCCTGTGAGTGGATATTGCCTTCATTTTACAGATGAGGAAATTGAAGCACAGAAAAGTTAAGTAGTTTACCCAAGGTCATACCACTAGTGACAGAGACAGAGTTTTTAACCACAGACTCTGTTTCTAGACCCTATGCTCTTAAACTATAAGTTGAATGATACAGTATTTTGATTGGGAAATTCTCTTATACTTTAAAAAGATGCCTATTCATGCAGTTTTGTGTAGAATAAAAGCTGAGTCTATATAGGTATTCCTTTCATGGTTAAAAAATATTGAAGATTAAATAATAGCAGCAAATAGAAAAGTGGTTCTCAAGTGAGCAAATTCTCAGGGAGAAAATTAGCTAATTAGCTAATTGACCAGGACAGTGGCATAAGAGCGCAATCATGGAGGGGTAAATAACATGTTGAAAGAACTTAGGTTACTGAATAGATCTGGAGAATGATTGGTGCAGGAGATCTAGTGGACTCGAGATGCACATTCTTAGAAGACGATGTATGTGTTACATGTGCAAAGCACAGAAGCATATTTTTCTTCCTACCTCATTTTATACTTTACTCTTAATTATTTGCTCTTTTTTCTCTGTTTTGAATAAGAGAATTATGTTTAAAAAACTAAAGAATTGAACTTTAATGTTTGATGCTGATGTTAAAATATAAAATCGCCTTAAAATAATACAGGTTTAACCACAGAAGGAAATCGTTTTTGACTGACTTTTTAAAAATATGTTTCCAGGACTAGTGGGCATGGATCTCGGAATAGTCAATTTGGTATATTTTCCACTTCTGAAAAAATCAAGGACCCAAGACCACTTAATGACAAAGCATTCATTCAGCAATGTATTCGACAACTCTGTGAGGTATTTTATAATTTTAAATATTCTAAATTGTGAGAATTTTCTTAAGTATTTCCAATAATTTTTGTATTATAAAATGATGTTTCATGAAAATTATTGTAGTTTCTTTCAGAAAATGGTTATGCATATAGTGTATCCATGAAATCTCTACAAGCTCCTTCTGTTAAAGACTTCCTGAAGATCTTCACTTTTCTTTATGGCTTCCTATGCCCTTCGTATGAACTTCCTGACACCAAGTTTGAAGAAGAGGTTCCAAGAATCTTTAAAGATCTTGGGTTTGTATGTTATAGTTCTCATTAACCTAGAAAGATTGTTGGGACATAGAGAACAAAACTGAATAAATGTGTAAAGATTTTGAGTTAGAGATATATTTTAAGATGGTCACAGTGGGCAGCATATGCAAGATGAATTGAAAAGGCGAAAAGACAACTATTTGGAGATTATCATTGAACTACAGATGCTAGATCATAGAAGCCCTCAACTACTGATGTGCCGAGGAATGGAGAAGACAGACTGGATACCACAGATTTTATAGAAACAGAACAAGATTGAAGGCCTAGTGAAAATGGGATGAGATAAAGTCCAAAAAGGCCTGTGTGTAATAAACACAGAGGAAGAAATAGATTTCAGGATGAGAAATACATACTTGTGGTTTGTTTGGGGTACACTGGAGTTGAGGGAACAAACAATCTTTGAGGAGAGAAGGCCAGCATATTGGTTATAAATCAAGTTCTGCAGCGTAGGGGATATATGTAAAAAGTAATCTGCAGAGAAGAAACAAAAAAATACACTAAATCATTTGAGATTAAGATGACTAAGGAGATAATCTCAACAAATATCTTCTAAACAAGTCAAGATTGTTGGCATATATGTGGAATTTATTTGTGTGTAACTTTTTGCTTAATTTAGCCATTATTTTTACAAGATTAACATACCAGCTTATTTTTTCTGATGTTTCATAGGTATCCTTTTGCATTATCCAAAAGCTCCATGTATACAGTGGGGGCCCCTCATACGTGGCCTCACATTGTGGCAGCCTTGATTTGGCTAATAGACTGCATCAAGGTATTTGGTTTCTCATTTTAAATATATTTGATTTCTCATTTTAAGCATATACATAGGAAAACAACAAAACCCACAATAAAACAATAAGTCAGTAGGAATTTCCCCTGTAACATTTGGTTTCTTCTCTTGTTTATTTAAAGTCTATATTTACTGCAAAAAGTTTGGAAAATACAGAAAAGCATAAACTCATAATCCCACAATTTAGAGACAACAACTTAAAACATTTCCTGAGATGTAGTTTTAAAAGTGCATTCTTGCTTTGCAAATCATGTGTATTTTTTAAATTTCTGATAAATGTTGACAAATTTCCCTCCAGAAAAGGTGCATCAGTTAAAATTTCAAACATGGGCGGGGAGGATATAGCTCAGTGGTAGAGTGCATGCTTAGCATACTTGAGGTCCTGAGTTCAATCCCCAGTACCTCCATTAAAATAAATAAACAAACAAACCTAATTACCTCCCGCCTTAAAAAAAAAAAAAAAAAACTCAACCATGTCTGAGAATACCCATTTTCCTACATTTTAAGCATTTTTGTATTAAAATCTTTACCCATTTGGGAGGTGGAAGAGTAAATTGCTTTAATGTATTATTAAAGTGAGTATGTTTTTGTGTGGTTTATCATTATCAGTGCTATTTCTTATAACTTTCTGGTGTGTACTTTTTTGGCTGATTTTCTCTTTCATTATTTGTTTCTCCTATTAATTTAAGCCTTTATGTATTGAACTCCTTATATATTAAGCTTATCAATGTTTTTAAGAATTGACATGACAAGCAAAAACGTAATTTTTTCATACCTGCATTTTTTAAGCCTGAATATTTTTCACAGTTATTATAACTGTCTATTCATGTCTTTTGCCTTTTTTCTTGTTTATTTGCAAGAGCACCTTTTTATGTCAAAAATAATTGATTGTGGAAATAAGCTTTTATAGATAAGCTGCAAATATTTTTGTCATCTTTTTCCTTTTGATTTATATGCTGTATTTTTATTGTTTAGAAATGTAGATTTTTATCTAGTCTAATGCGGTCTCTTCCTTTTATAGTTTCTGAGTTTCCTGCCCCACTTAGTGCTAGAATTTTTAAAACTAACACTGTCCCCTGACATTCTCTTGGGCATCAGCAAGCCCTTTACTAAATGTAGGCAGGCATTGGGTAGATGGATTTTGACTCAGAGACGTACTGGTACATTCAGTACCACCCATTTTCAAGACAGGAGTAGAAATCCAATGCCATAGTTCATTCCTACAAGTTAAGTATTATTGAACTTTATGTATAACATTTATGCATTCAATTTGTCTCTCCTCACTGATACCCTTGGACATTCGGTAACCACCTCAGACCAGATACCCCTATTGTCATTAGAGCACTTTACCTTTGTTTGCTTAAGCAGCTTAGGTCATCTTTATGTGGTTGGGAGATAGCATTTCCACACGATCCAGGAGCTGCTATATGGAGTGCCTGCTTGGCTTCTGTCAGGGATGGACGTCTTGGGATGCCTCCAAGTGTTATATAGGTTGAAATCCCCTCCTTATCTTGATTTGCTTAAGATGGTGGGAAAAACTACTGGCTTTTGTATTTTAATTTTATATCCTGGAACTTGACTGAATTTGTTGATAAGACCTAACAGTTTTTTTGAGGGGTCTTTAAGATTTTCTCTATATAAAACCATGTCATCTACAAATAGAGATAATTTTGCTTCTTCCTTTCCAATTCTGATGCCTTTTATTTCTTTTTCTTGCCTGGCTAGGACTTCCAGTACTCTGTTAAATAAAAATGGCAACAGTGGGCATCCCTTTCTTGTCACTGATCTTAAAGTATCAGCTTTGAGCTTTTCACCATTGAGTACAATGTTAGTTGTGGGCTTGTCATATATTGGCTTTATTATGTGGAGGTGCATTTCCTCTATACACAGTTTGGGAGTTTTTATTAAGAAGGGATATTGAGTAGTGGTATTATATTAGGAAAGCCACCTTTAGCTAAAAAAACAAAATGATTACTCAAATCCATATTTCTGGTTATCTCTATACAATTTCAGGTTGAAACTATTTTCACCTTACCTTCTTCTCAGTTGAAGAACTTTTAGTTCCTATGGTAAGAGTCTTTCCTATAGTTCTTGGGGATCCGTTTGTCCTTGTGTAAGGCTCTCCTTGAACCTTGCAGAGTAGCAAGAGTTTTCACAAGGATCTTTGACAAAGCAACATGAACTCTATATTTATCTACCATGTTGACAAGGCAGAAGATTCTGTTCTTCATCTTGGGCTCTGCCCTACATGTCTTTCAGACTTAATTAAGTTTGATTTTCACTTGAGGCCTTGTTAAAGGAAGAAGAAGTAAAGGGTAAGTTCATAGAGCTTGCCTACATCCACCCTAGATATACAGAAAGTATTATGAGTGCCTTTGGAATAGGAAAGAAGCAGATAGGACAGGCAACTTCAGACTGAAGACAGTATTCCCACTCAGAAATCCTATATATGCAAGTCCTAGGGTAAGAAAATTTAATGACACATTTTCAGCAGAAACCATGTTGTTCTCTTATACACCTAATGCGTAGTCCTTTTTTTAGAGCTTAGTATTCATCTAAATATACATTTATATCTTTACATTTTATAGCAGTTTCATTTAAATTTAACAATTTTATTTTTGAAAGGTTCTATTTTTAAAACAAGTTATAAAAACGGGTGTTCCAAAATAGAATTTCTGTTCCTTAAAAGCCTTAAGGCATTCTCCTTTAGCTTGTTAATTATAAACATCTGAATGTTTTGCTGTAATTCATTACCTGTTATCACTTTCAAGCTTAAACATTTACATTTCTGAAGACTTTATATTGTAAAATTCAATCTAAAGTTCAAATTTATACATTCTGAAGGGGTCAGTGGATAACATTTGAATACCAAAATTGAGTTCATATAGAAGAGAAATATTATTTGTTCATCTTTAATGTAGTGGTTCTGTTTTGGGTTCTCAGGGTTGCATTAAAATGTATGTATTTGCTCTCAATGGGTTAAAAATAGTGTAAATGATAATCATTTTTTTCTCTGTAGAATAGAACTAAATATGGAGCTGATTCTTTTTTTTAATCCTAAGGGATTCAGCTACTAAAAAGTCAAAAGAATTGTATTTTAAGGTTTAAAAGAATAACCTTTCAAGAGACTTTCAGTCATGCAATAATATAAATGCTTCTGAAAATGACACTAAAAACAAATTTGACAAAACATGAATGCTGCTGTGTTTTCTTCATAAACTTAATCAATTTAATGTTGATTAATGTTTATGTTCTAAATAGTTACATACTGCCATGAAAGAAAACTCACCTTTATTTGATGATGGACAGCCTTGGGGAGAAGAAACTGAAGATGGAATTATGCATAATAAGGTACCTTACATTACCATAGAGTTATCTTAATATTATTAACTAAATGTGTCATTATTGAAATTAATATATTCTTTGGTAGAACTTGTCTTTTTTGCTCATGAAAATCTTCTGAAATTGATTTTTTGAAATATTAGTCAGTGGATTTACTCTTGGCATCACATTGTAATTTCCTAAAATTAACAAGGCACAGAAATTTGAAAATGTTAAGTAAGTAAAAAAAGGCAAGGCAATTGGAATTAAATCATGTTACTATTACATGTATAGATGTAGTAATTCTTTTTCTTCCCTATCTTTTAGAGTGAAAATAACAATACTGGCATCATTATTTTAATAAAATATTTTGTCAACACGAAGGATAGAAGACTGAGTCTTAAAATAGATGGCATGTGGATTTTTTGTTTTGTTTTGGCCGTTTTAGTTAGACATATTGCCACTTGGAGTTCCCACTTTGAAAATTGATTGAGATAGAAGTAAATAGATGGTCTAAATTGGTTCCCAGCCCATACTTTATTGGAGCCTAAACTATGCAACTAAACCCACCCTATTTCCTAAAATACACAAATTATATATCCAAATGGAGCAAACACCAACTTCAAGGAATAAATTTATAATATTGAGATTAAACATTAATGTCCCCTAGCATATACCAGTTACTATGCAGATCCCTGAGCATCTTAATTCTGATCTTCACTCTTTGGAACATTTGTCAGGAAAAAAACCCCATCTTTTATTACTACTTGGGAAATAGTTCAAAGATGCATTAACTGATTAGCATGGTATTATTGTTTTTTTTTTCTTCTTCTTCTTCTTTTTAAACAAAAAATAACCATGCCCCTTTAACTTCATCAGTGATCCTTGCTGGTGAAGCCTTTGATCCTCTTGAGAGAATTCTCCCTTGTTGCAATATGTGTACTGGACTAGATTTATTTGTACCTCAGTTTTCACCCCCCAAAAATTATAACACCTGGTAAATTATTAAATATTAAATTTCTTGATATTCATCCTAAAAATTAAACCAGTAAAAATTATTCTTGCTATTTTAGCTGTTATTTCAGATGACAATATATAGAGAAGCACTTTGGAAACTATAAAGTGCTGTTTTTTATTTAATTTTAAATTAAAAATTAATTTTAAATTTAATTTAAGAGTTATCAATGTATCCACCTCCACCAGATTTTGAGCCTCAGCTTTGTGGGTCCAGAAATTCATCTTTGTTTTTTACTTTAATCTGCAAAATCAAAATTGACCAAGCTTAAGGAAACTGATTCACTCTTACTAAATTCACATCTGAAGAAGAATGAAGATGAATTCATTTACCATCAGTGATACATCTTTCCAGTTACAGGGAAAGCATACTGCCTATTCAGGGTACCCCTTCCATATCAACCAAGTAATAAGAAGGTTGCTTAGTAAGCAGAGGATCATTGCAAAGGGAATTGGTTTGTCTTGAGGGATGTTTACTTCATCTAGGCTAAGGAAAATTCTGATCAGCCATTCTTGCCTCCCACAAAGTACGCATCCTCAGTGACCAAAACACTTTGTACCTGCAAATTAGTGTTATTTTCTCTTGGATAAATGTTGAGTGCTAATATTCTACTGTTTAGAGCTCTACTAACCATGCCGTTTTTTTAGCTTGAAGTTAAAGTGTAAACCATAGCCTTTATTAATTACGTTCTGGTTTTCACAACTGTACCTTGTCAGTTTAATTGGACTTAAATGGTCAGCAATTTAAGTTTTTCATAAGGCAGATTATCCTTAAAGATGCTTAAGTTTGTGCATTTTATGTTGAATTATATTTATTAATAAGCTTCCTTGTCTGACCTTCTCAAAATTCTGAAGATATGGGTCTTTTGCTGTTTACTAAATATCACCTTTATCCAACTGTAAGTGTTCTTTTCATCCTCGTTACTCACATTAGAAGTAGTGGACAGAGTAAATCTGTGCATTGTAATTAATGCTATTTCCTAGGTTTGTGTCTCATTTAGGAGTTCATATAACTACTTAGTATTCTTGACTTTTTTTTAATTCAAATTTAAATTTCCACTTAGAAAAGTGCGATAAACTAACCAGAGAATCATGATTTTGTTTTTAAATCTACTGAACCCAATTAGTTGTTTTTGGACTACACCATAAAATGCTATGAGAGTTTCATGACTGGTGCTGACAGCTTTGAAGAGATGAATGCAGAGTTGCAGTCAAAGCTGAGTAAGTGTTCTCATTCCTAGTGTATTTGCGTTGAGTCATTTAACTCTGCTCAAGGAGTTGTAGCTTACCTTACCGTGCCCAATGTTTATAGGAGCTACTCACTTTAAATGCATTCAGTTGCCTCCTGATTTTTATCAAAGCTGTTTCTTGGGTGGAAAGAAGTAAAGGTTAAGATGAAAGAATACTGATTTTGGAGTCAGACCCAAGGCATAACCCCTTACTGGCTATGTGACCTTAACAAACTACTTAATATGTCTTAACAAGGTTTTGCAGGACTAGATGGCCGGGTTTATAAAATATCAAACATACTACTAAGAGTACAAAAGATAATCAGCAAGTTTTATTCTCCTTGGGGGGTCATATCCCTGTGATATCTTTGCTTTACTATTTTAGAAATTAAAGTACCAATTAGCCGGGAGTTCTATGATGTCTTTCAAAATTTGTGTCAGAAAGTTAACAGCCCATTATATTTCCAAAGAAAGAGATTATTTTTTTCACTCAATATAATCTAGTGATATTCAGTCTTTACTGGCTAACATTAAAATGTTTCAGAGGTATTATTTTACATTGTTGTTCCTTTTATTGTAATAGTCCTGTATATAATGCCAGAGTGGAGGGTAAAATAGATGAGTTTAAGGTGTGTAAAGCTATTCTCCGATGACTATGGAATCAATCGAAATAGGAGAATATCACCCTGCCACTATTAGCACAAAAAGTGAAAGCATTCTCTTACATTCCTATGGGACATACCTTCCTGAAAAATAACCAGGACAATTTCAGCTTGTCCACATGAGAAAGGGAACAAGTAATTGATGGATGTTGGGTTTTTTTAAAGAGAAAAATTTGTAGTGATCTAATACCAAAAGCACCTAGTGAGTTCTTTGATATTTATGTTGTAATTAATTAGTCATATAAATTATATTCATTTATTCAAACAATGTTATATTCCTACTGTGTGCCAGCCACCATTTAGGCACCGAGGATACAGTAATGAATAAGATTTTTTTTAATCCCTATTATGCTGTAAACCTGAAATTACTCTAAAAAAATAAAATCTATTAATAAAAAATAAATAAACAATAACTCCCTGGCCTTATGAGCTTACATTCTATTAGGTAATAGTCAAATGAACAACTATAAGTCAGATGGTAAGAGTGCTATGGAGGAAAATGAAGCAGGGTAGGGAGGTGGGGTGTGTACTGGACTAAAGTGGACGGGTTGCCATTTTACAGACAGTAGGATGTCCCTCACAGAAAGTGTTTTGAGTAGAGACCAGAGGAAGTGAGGGAGAGAGCAATGGTAAAAACCTGCAGAAGAATTTTGTAGGCAAATTTGAGACCTTATGAATGTACTGAGTTTTTTTTCCAGAGGATTTATTTAATGTCGATGCTTCCAAGTTGGAATCATTAGCAGCAAAAAACAGAGCACTGAATGAGCAAATTGCAAGACTGGAACAAGAAAGAGAAAAAGAACCGGTTAGTAAACATGCTTATCTTCAGTAGACTTACATACTCCCTTATACTCTTGGGTCTCCTTAGAGAACACCGGCTGTTTCTTTATGTATTTTTTTAAAGATATTAACAAAATAAGCTTCTTAAAGGTTAAATTTTTTACATAGGACAGAAGTCCCAATGAAAACATGCTTGGTTTCCCTAGAGCTTTGTTTTCCCTCATGACCTATCAGTCTTGGACTAAAGGTGTTCAGAATATGATGAAAGAGTCTTACCTATTTACATAAGAGCAAAAAGATCTTTAGAACAAGGTCCCCATGTTATATACCTCTAGGGAGCACTACTGAAACTTACAAGAGGCCCTGAGTTTTAAAGTTAGTGGAGACAGAATGTTAGTAAGTGGGTTTGTATCATTTATTGTATCCTAAGGGCTTTCAAAAGCTAAATGATAATATCCAGATGTCTAATTTTGTGTATTATGTCACTGAAGCCCCTAGAATAAAATACCAGATTTTAAATGTTTGTGCTTTTTCATTCTGGCGCTTGACTTTTTCTGTCCCAAACTGACTTGTGAAAAGTATATCTTCTTATTTGGATAATAACAGTAAATAACTGTTTTTAGTTTTTTTGATACCCTCTAAAAGTGAAAAGAAAACTTTAATTTACCTTTCTTTAAGGTGAATTTAAATTATATTGCTTTATTTTCAAGTAAGGTATGGAATGATTATTGATGAGAATAACTAATTTCATGTTCTTTTCTTGTGAAGAATCGTCTAGAGTCATTGAGAAAACTGAAAGCTTCCTTACAAGCAGATGTTCAAAAATATCAGGCATACATGAGCAATTTGGAGTCTCATTCAGCCATTCTTGACCAGAAATTGAATGGTCTCGATGAAGAAATTTCTAGAGTAGGTAAGCACAACTAATGCTGAAAGAGGTCATTCAGACTGGGATGGGGACCTGCGTGGGATTTAACACATAATGAGACAGCTTTGTTACCGGTATCTTTTTGCCTCTGGTGGTAAATGACTATAGAAGGCTACCAAGTTTTTCGTGACTTCTGTATTAATTTTCTGATGCTTCTGTAACAAATTATCACAAACTTGGTGGCTTAAAACAACAGAAATGTATTCACTCACAAAAGTCTAGAAGTCAGAAATCCAACAGGGCCACACTTCCTCCAAGGACTCTGGGGGAGAATCCATTCCTTGCCTCTTCCAAATTCTGGTGTCTGATGGCATTCCTGAGATTGTGGCCATGTCATTCCAATCTCTGCCTCCATCCTCACATTGCTTTCCCTGTGCGTATGTCTCTCTTCTATGTTAATTTTTCTCTGCCTCCATTTTTTAAGGACATTTATGATGGTATTTAGGGCCCACCTCAATAATCCAGGGTAATTTCCTCATCTCAAAATACTTAATTACATCGGTGAAGACACCTTTTCCACATAAGGTAATTCCAGGGACTAGATTAGGACTTCACATCTTTGGGTGGCCATTATTCAACCTACTACACCTTCTAACATGTTTTCAGGCCACCTGGCTTTTTGAAGCCAAGAAGGACCTAACCTAAGAACATATGCTACCTGAATATAAATAGATCTTCTATTCCACCTTGTGATTAATAAGCCATATTTTTAAATCCCTACTGGCCTCAGCCTGCTATAATTGCCTTATTCTCTATCACTGAACTACTCAGCACCTTAAACCGATTGAAAATAAGATGAAAAGACGCTAGTCCTACAAAAGCCCAATTAAAGAAAGCTGGTTAATATTTTGTGTGCTTCTATCCTTGTTTTCATAAGCATATATAGATCTTAATCATGAAAGTCTGCAAATACTGTGGCACATGAATTGATTGACACTTCTGTGGTGCCAGAAAGAGATAAAGAAGGATATCTACACATCACAGAGCCATTGGACGGCAGTTTACAAAATAAATAACTATATGGATGTACTATACTATTTTCCCAAGTCTTTGCCTGCTTCAGTTTTATTCTTTAAGGGTTTTGCAGGCTGTGTCTGTCTCACGTAGGAATTGTGTAGATAGTTCTTAGGATATTTGATTTAACTCTTAGTCTATGGAATATTGATCATCTGCCAAATCAAGGACAATAATTTTCTGGAGTGTTTGCTAAATTGGTTTATTTTTTTCCAAATAAGTCTGATTACATATATTAGCTTTGCTCTAAACCAACTCTTTAAATAGTTTACACTTGACCCCTAATGTTTGTTCTCCATGATAACAAGGAACCATAGACTAATTTCTTATTATAGCAGTGTTTGTAATGCAATTAAATCAATTCTTTTTAATATTAATAATTTATCTTCCTTATTGGTATTTAACCTAGAGAATTTTCATCCTTCCTACTTATGAGAATTTTTTTCCAGGATTACAAACTGGGTAGGTGAGAAAGAAATAATTCAGAAATCATTTGCCATTGCAGAGTGATTTAGTTTGAGACAATAATTTGATAACTATTATCCTAAGATGTTTTTATTCTGAGTATTTTAACCTTCTTGACTGTTTAAAGCCTTTCATGGCCAAGAGTGAATGAGACGTATTTAAACTATAGATATTATACATTGTGGCTTTTTGGGTACAGATTCCTGTAAATAAGTGTATGAAGTTATACTTAAACCAACTGCTAATTTTTTTTGAACTCAGATCTAGAGCTCCCCAACTACAGTGCTATGAAACGAATCATAACCAAGCCAAGACCTTGATCCTGTCAGCCCTCAGGATGGTTCTCTTGGCCCCTTTGATCATGAGGACCCTCATCCATTTGTCCCAACCTGCTTAAAAATACTCTCATACTCTTTACTAGCTATGAGTCACAAAATGTTGGAATCACTCTTCTATATAACCGCAAATATTTTAAATTTGATAACTTTTCTTCCTCTTTCATAATCTTTGCTGTTTGTATGTACCATATTCTCTTGGTACAGTGTAATCATTCATGGTTATAAATTTTAGTAACACAAGAACCTAACCACTATCGTTACTTAGTATCTGATGAAAGCACTGAAAATATCAGTGAACTAAGTATAATAAATGATGTATGCTTACATAAGTATTTTTTGTTTATGAAAAACTTGTGGGTTTTCCGCCTTATTGCAGAGAATCTTGCAGGAGTATTAAAACACCTTAACTGTACAGTAACAGACTCTCTTAAGTCAAACAATTCTTAGTCATAATCATTATGTGTGGGGCCATTTTTTTTTAATACAGCACTTTCTGGAAACCATAGCAAGCCAATAGGGGAATAAGGTTCTAACATAAAACTTTAATTGCATCATGTTCCGAGAATGTTATTAACAAAGTGAAATCAAACAGAATTATCCAAAAAAAAGAAAAGAAAAATATACGCATAACTAACTTGGAAGTTTAGACATCTTAATGAACTCTGTTAAATAGTGGCCTCAGTTTCTTTGTAGGAATTGAGGGAACTTAAGAAATTTTTTCTTTTTTCAATGCAGAGCTGGAATGTGAAACAATGAAACAGGAGAATTCTCGACTACAGAATATTGTTGATAACCAGAAGTACTCAGTTGCAGACATTGAGAGAATAAATCATGAAAGAAATGAATTGCAGCAGACCATTAACAAATTAACCAAGGACCTGGAGGCGGAACAGCAGCAGTTGTGGAATGAGGAGTTGAAATATGCCCGAGGCAAAGAGGCGGTATGTCATGCCCTTCCCAGAGTGGCAACTCTTCAGAACTTACCTCTGTAAACGTCTATCCCAGTTAAGAAGAACTGAGTGGGTAGGATAAATTGCCTGCTGAGGTACAGTGTTTTAGCACTGACATTTTACTAAAAGTACACTCCCCTTTATGTCAATTCAGCAACCCCCCCAATGTCTCAGTCATGTTTAAGGTAGCCTGTATTTTCTAACAGTGAACCAGTAAATAAGCAAAAAGTCTCTAAGGCTATGAAAATAACTTTCATAAATCCCATGCCTTTTATTCTAGAAGTGAATACGAGTCACTTCTTCATTTACCTACTCACCACTCAAACATTTATTTAATATCTACAGGGTGCCACTTACC